GGAGATCAAGACCATCCTGGTTAACACGGTGAAACCCCGTCTCTACTAAAAATACAAAAAATTAGCCAGGCATGATGGTGCGTGCCTGTAGTCCCAGCTACTCGGGAGTCTGAGGCAGGAGAATGGCGTGAACCCAGGAGGCGGAGCTTGCAGTGAGCCGAGATCGCACCACTGCACTGCAGCCTGGGCAACAGAGTGAGACTCCATCTCAGAAAAAAAGAAAAAAAAAGAAATGTCTTTCAAAGACATTTGAACACTGGGATGGCTTCCCAGTGTTTTCTTCTCAAGTCACATATCTGGGGGAAGTTCTGGCCAACGCCATCTCTTCTACCCCTTACACTTCCAGAGGTGCCTCGCTTCCCAGAGTGGTGTTTATGTCTGGGTTTTATCAGGGTCCTGTCCACATCCCTGGCTGGCCCCTCCCTTGGTCTGGCTCTGCTGGCATGGAGGTAAGAGTCCATCAGATGGCAGGTGATGGCAGGTGAAGAGGGGAGATAGCATTGGACAGGGTGAATGCTTCAGGCAAATGGCCCTGGGCTGAGCATGCTGAGGCCTACCTCTCCTCCCCAGGCCTTTAGCCCTCCGTGTCCCTCCATTCTGGAAAGCGCCATGTATGTAAGTCCCACTCTCAGAACTCAATGTGCTTTCACATGAGTGCACAAGTGCGCAAACACTTTAGAAGCTCGTGGAGATGTGACTGGAGAAATGCTCAGCAAACCTTGATGGCCTTGAAGAAGGTGTTGAGGGGCAGATTCGGTGCACCAGTGTGAAGGAAGAAGAGGTGGGTCTGCCTGAGGTGGGCAGCACAGGCAGCCGGACCAGTGTGCATCTGGCGTCTGGGGCCCAGGAGTCCACCACAGTCCCGCAGCCTCCACTGAGTCAACTTCTGGATAACACTCACCTCTCCAACTTTGCCTCTTTTCTTTCCTATAAAATTAGGGTATTAACTTTAGAAATTAAGATGCAGGTGGTTTAAAAATATACAAATTTTGGCATGGGTATGTAATAATTATACTCCCTTGTACCTGAAATGTCCCTAAAATGAAAGAGATCCCCTCCCACTTCTCCCAATTATTGCTAAGGCTCGTGGCTATAGGTGAGTGAGTCTGAAGGGCTAGAGCCTACGTAGCAGAAAGTAATGAAGGACCAGAGTAACCGCGAGGGAAGGAAGTGAACACGTGGACACATGGGATCTGTGGGCTGGAGCGTTTCTGTTCAGCTTTACGAACTGGTCCTTAAGGTAGATGTTTAGATTTCCAAATGGTTTGTTGCCATTTCTTTCCATTCAATGATTTTTTTTTTTTTTTCCTGGAGAAAAAGATAGTTCTTTCTCTCGGGGAAATGCCTCATGCACACACTTACAGGCAAACACACGCACACACATGTGCACACACATGCTCACACACATGCACACAAACACATACACACACTACAGAAAATTTAAAGCAATGGTTCCTGTAGCTGCTACAACCTTCACATTTACAACCAGCTCACACGTGTGTTATCATTGATGAGGAGCAAACACTCTGCTTACTCACGTCCCTGTGCAAGTGTGCAGTGTGTGTGCTTTATTTATAACTGCTGGGGGAATTCCCGATTTGTTATTTGTAGGCATGTATGATTCTAGTGCAACACTAAAGTGATGTAATTTTCTTTGCTTAATTTCCCCAGTGTGCTTGTAATTATTGATTTACCAAATGAAAGAATTCTCATTTCAGCAGGCAGTCATTACTTCAGCCACTCCCGTCTTGGCTGTCTACCTAGATGGAGGAACCTGCCAAGCTTTGTGCTATCCTGCGTAGCATCAAAGGCCCATTGAACTTCTTGGGGCCATGTTACTTCCCTCCCAGGCACTGTCCCTAGGAGGAACAGTGTTTGCTTAGGGCCTATGGGCTGATGATGGCATATATAGCACATTATCTATTTGTTTACTTTCTGCAGTATTTCCATTAATCTTCAATTTCTACTAAAGCTGTACACTACCTAACGCTGTCAATGCCGGTGTTTAAAATAAGCTAGTGTGATCCCTAGGCACGAGGTGAGCCCCTTGCTGCTACACCACACCATAATCAGTGTTCCTTCATGCCAGCAGTTCTCAAACTCTGGTCCCTGGTCCAACCGCTTCAGCTACATCCAGGGATGACATGCAAATTGTCAGGTCAAGCTCAGACTTACTGAGTTTGGGACTCAGTGATCTGTGTTTGAACAGGCAGCCCTGAGCAGCTGCCAGCGTGTTGGCTCTGAACCTGGACGGGGAGCCTGAAGAACTCTGGTGTAAGATGCTCAACTGCGAAGGCCTGCAAACCTCCCTAGGCTCCTTCTTTCCTCCCAGGCAGGGTTCTGATACTTGCTCAGGTCTGAGAGGGGCTGCCCTGGGAGCACCTTCCTCTTAGTGAATGTCACTTCTTCTCTGCTTACTTCTTTCTCTCTTTCTTTCTTTTCATCCAGCCAGCTGTTTCAGCCCTCTAGCACCTCTGGGCAGCCTGCCCTGTGACCCATACATGGAATTCCCTGAGGCCACGCCCAGCCTGTTCCACAAGAATGTCCCAGTTTGACTTTTATGTTCCACTGCACTTTGTGATTTATTTCATGGGGGCAACCTTGCCTGTCCCAGAGAACGTAGACAGGCCTTGTGACCTTTCCACCCACTCTTGCCTTGGCTTGGCAATTGGGATGTCCTTTCTGAGACAAGAATAAACTCCAGGACCTGGACGTGGGGTCAGACCCTCTGCCCACTGCAGCTGGGCACACTGAGGGGAGGCAGTGGGAGTGGAAAAGGCACCATCAGTCTCTCTTTTTTGTACAACCCATGTTTCACCAGTGGCCAAAGCTGTCTCCTGCAGGCGGGCAGCACAGGGGGCTCCCAGGGAGTTACACTTGAGATAGAGGGATCTTAATCTGTCTTTGCATCCTCCAGGCCTGGCAGGAGCTTAAAGTGCTGCCACTAACTACTTGCGACCCTGGGTGAGTTACTTAACCCTTAGGTCCTTTCTTCTGTGAGCTCCATGGAAACCTCTGGAAGGGGGCTCAGAGGCCCCTGCTTGGAGTCCCTTGGAGGCCACCACACACCCAGGCCTGGTTCTCCTGCTGTTCACCTCACGTGGCCTGGGATTTTCAGGACCCATGACCTGCTCCGGCAGGTTCTTCTAGGCAGAACTGACAAAATGCCTGACCACTACTTAAACTTTGAATTCTTCTCCAAGTCTCGAAAATCATGCCCTCAGGACCCAGCATCCCCTCTGCTGGTTGAACGTGGGGCATTTCCTCCCAAGCGTAGCAGGAGCTTGCCTTTCTCCCAACCCTGCTAACTGCTTCAACACGGCTGTCTCGTCTCATCCAGGCTTCCCTGGGTGGGAATCAGACTCCCCTCCAGGGTGTTCCCCAAGCCTCTCATGCTCATGCTTCCCCTGGCTGAAGCCCCTCAGGAGACAGGAGTGAAAGAGACAGGGCCCACCTCTCCCCCTAGCTCTCTCCAAAACCCTTCCCCTAAAATCTTCTTTTCTCCAGTGCTCCTCCCTTGCTGAAGTAGAGGGGCTCAGGACTTGTCAAACTGGCTGGCTCTGAGCCATCTCTTTTGAAGATCTGAATTTGTAATTTTGTTTCTATTGTGTCTTGGTGCTTAGGTTTTAACCTCCTGTCATAGCAGTCTGAGATTTGCAGATTGCCTTTTCCATGATGACACCTGTAAGTTTACCTATGGGCAGGCTGTATTTTCCAAAGACAGCTACATCCTCATCACACCTGCTCTTCTGCAAGGTGACCTTGCCATTCCCCCATGCTGAGCAGTATCTGTGTTTCCTGTGCTCAAATCCAGGCAGGCAAGAGAATCCCTGTGATTTTTGAGGTTAGGTCATGAAAGGTGATACAGCCTCCACCTGGTTCTCTTGAAGCTCCGACTGACGTGTAAGAAATCCAAGGCTGCCATGTTGTGAGGAAGCCCAAGCCACATGGAGAAACCACATGTGCTCGAGATTCCTGACCCTAGCCATGGAGTCACCCCCAGCTTTCTGGTTCTTCCAGTTGAAGCCCCCAAAATGATTGACAGAGTCACCTTAATCGTGTTCTTTCTAAAGTGCCCACAGAATCCATGAGTATGGTAAAAATAAATTTCAAAGACACTAAGTTTTGTGAGACTTTCTTACACTGATATAGAGAATTGACATACTTATCATCTGTATGGCAATGTCCCTGACTGTCCCTTTTGAGCTCAGATTCCTCAGAGGTCTGGGGCCTAGGTCCATGGGGATCCACCTCAAGGTTTCTAAGTTTTAACAATTCCACTTTTTTTCTTTTATTTCCCTAGCCCTAGGAGTGGTAGCTGCTTTTTGCAAATGCAATATTTGTGGTACTTCAGAATTCTTTTATTGCCATTTCAGTCACCTAGTTAATAATGTTTTACTTATTTGCCAGTTCTTTGTATGAAATTCTATTTAAGTAGCTGTTACAGTTTCTGTCTCCTGACTGGACTTTGACTGATACTAAAAATAGACACCATTTGTTATTCTGGGTAAAGACTATCAGTATTATTAATTTCATTAATTAAAAAAACTCAGACATTAGAGAAGTTGTAAATACAATGCAAATACATTATTTTATTTTCCTAAACCATCTAAGAGTATTTTGCTCATTTGATGCCCCCATGACAGCTGAACCCTTCAGTATGTATTTCCTACAAACAAAGACATTTTCCTGCATAATCACAATACATCCATCAGAATCAGGAAATTAATATTGATTTCCTACAAGCTTATAATCCACAGACCCATTCACATTTCATCAGTTGTGCAAATAATGTCTCTTATAGCAAAAGAATCCAAGCCAGGGCATGTGTCACATGACTCATAGCTTTGGTTAATCTGGAACAATTCCCCTTTCCTTGTCTTTCTTTGATTTTCATGACCTTGACACTTCTGAAGATTACACACAAGTTATTTTCAGAATGTCCTTCAGTTTGGATTTGCCTGATTTTTTTTTTTTTTTTTTTTTGTAATCTGATTCAGGTTCTGCATTTTGGGCAAGAATACCACAGAAGTGATGCCATGTCCTCATAATGCACTAGCAGGTGCCACCTGAGCTTGATTTGCCCCGTTACTTACAATGTTCACTTTGATCTCTTGATTAAGCTGGTGTCTGCCAGCCTCCTTCACTATCAAGGTACTCTTTTTTATTTTGTAATTAATAAGCATTTTGGGGGGATCTACTTTGGAACTATGGAAATCTCCTCAATTTTTAATTTATTTACTTATTTATTTCTATCACTATGGACTTGTGCTTTCCTTTTTTACTCAATGGGGTATAATCTGTTATTTTCAGCATGTATTTTGACGACCAAATTGTTTCAGATTTGATCAATGGGAGCCCCTTTAAGCTGGCCTCTGCGGCCTTTTGTTAAGCTTTCAGTATGCTGTGATTGCTTTATTCTTTCCTTATAGCACAAGACATTCCAGGCTCTTCTTACTCTTTCCCTGCCCTAGCACTAGAATCAGCCATCTCTCGAAGGAGCCAAGTCTTCTTTTAGTGGAGAATGGTATTTATTTATTTATTTATTTATTTGTTTGTTTGTTTGTTTTTATTTCTTTTTTGAGATGGAGTCTCGCTCTGTCGCCCAGGCTGGAGTGCAGTGGCTGGATCTCAGCTCACTGCAAGCTCTGCCTCCCGGGTTTACGCCATTCTCCTGCCTCAGCCTCCCAAGTAGCTGGGACTACAGGCGCCCGCCACCTCGCCCGGCTAGTTTTCTGTATTTTTTAGTAGAGACGGAGTTTCACCGTGTTAGCCAGGATGGTCTCGATCTCCTGACCTCGTGATCTGCCCGTCTCGGCCTCCCAAAGTGCTGGGATTACAGGTGTGAGCCACCACGCCCGGCCGAGAATGGTATTTAAATACCAAGATCTGGCTTCTAGATGTGCTCATGGCTTTTAAGGTATTGCCCCTTCCAGACTCTTTCAGTGAAGAGAGAGCTCAGGAATATTTGTATACAAGCATTTACATGTCTGTACCCTACTCTGTGTGTATGTATGTGTCTATCAACCTACTTATATATTGAAAAGCATAGATTTGTCCTAATGTCTCCATTTCCAATGCAAAACTGGAAGGTTCATTCTAATTTTCTTTTTCTGTGTATTGATTTCCTTCTCTGACCATGGGAAACTTGGCTTTCATTATCTTGAATATATTTGTTTGGTCAATTCCACCGTATGTAACCAATCTCCCATCGCCACTGCAACCTCTGTGGACATGCTTTCCACTCCACAAAAATCACCTACCGTATTCATTTGCTAGGGCTGCCATTACAAAGTGCCACCAACTGGGTGACTAAAATAACAGAAAATAATTTTGTCATAGTTCTGGAGGCCAGAAGTCTGAGATCAAGATGTTGGCAGGATTGTTTTTTTTCCTGAAGCCTTTCTCCTTGTCATGTAGATAGCATCTTTTCTCTATGTCTTCTCATGATAGTATGGTTTAAATCTAACCCTCCAAAATTCAGGTGTTGCCAATGTGAAAGTATTAAGAGATGGGACCTTTAAGAAGAGATTAGGTCATGATGTCTCCTCCCTTGTGATTTGGCTTAATGGCCTCATACAAGAGGCTTCAAGCAGTGCTAAGCTTGCTTGCCCTTCTGCCTTCAGCCACATAAGGACAAACGTTCCTCCCTTCTGGAGGATGCAGTGTCCAAGGTGTCACCTTGAAAGCAAAGAGTGGACCCATTCCAGACACTAAACCTGCTAGCGCTGTGACCTTGGACTTCCCAGCCTCCAGAACTGTGACAAAATAAATTTCTGTTCTTTATAAATTACCCAGTTGGTGGTATTCTATTATAGCAACACAAAATGAACTAAGACACATGGTCTTCTTCCTATGTGTGTATGAGTACTAATGTCCTCTTCTTATAAAGATACTGGACTATGGCCACCCCAATGACATTATTTTAATTACCTCTTTAAATACCCTACTTTCAAATATAGTCCCATTTGAAAGTATCAGGGGTTATGATGTCAACATAGGAATTTGGGAGGACAAAATTCAGCCCATAATACCCACCATTTCTCACAGGAGAAAGTAACTGTGTTAGTTAACTACGGAGGCAATATCATCCCAGTACACCACTCGCTCCCCCATCTTGTAGCTGTCACTTACCTTTGGGCTACTCCCCTACATTTATTGGGAACATTTCCTTTGTCTCCCTCATGAGTCCAACTCATGTTACCTTTTATCAGATGAGCTAACTGCTATCTTAGTAGGAATTCTGTGGCACGTTAACATTGACTACAAATTCTTTGACATCCTTTCCATATGAGAGTGGGATCTTTTTTTCCTCTCCTCGAATCTGGATTGTCCCATAACTGTTTTGATGAATCAAGTATGGAGGAAATGATGTTATGCAATTCTAGGCTTAGTCTTTAAAGCTTTTGTTTTGGTCTCTGAAAGTGCTGAGCTACCATGTCTGACTAGTTTACAAGAGCATGTACATGGAGATTCTGAGAATATATGGCATGGAAGAGGACCCCAGCTGAGCCTAGCTGGCTCAAACAAGGCACCAGGTGTGTGAGAGAAGCAGTCTTGAGCTCCCTCAGCCAGACCAGCCACTAATTGAATATAAACAAGTGGCTGACACAAAGACCAGAGGAATTGCCCAGTTTAATCATTCTTGAATTCTTGACCCACAAAATTGCAAAATGTAATCAAATGGTTGTCATTTGAAGCCACTAAATTTTTAAGTAGAGCAATGTCCTTGTCTTTACTGGCCTTCGCGTCAATCTCAACTCTCATTCCACAGCTTCGATCCTGTCATTTCCTTTACTGCTTCAACACTGAACTGTCCATAGGCTGCAAGCACCTTTCTATCTGCTCTTCCTGTTACTTACTCTCACCATGCCAGAATTTAATATTCAGCAAACCTCATCAGTCTCAACTCCTGAAGTTTTCTCCAGTCTGTCAGCTGACTCTTGGCTTTGATTTAGTTCTTTTCTATCGTGTTCAAGCCACATAATCTATCATGTCAATACTCTCTATCATGTTAAACTTCTGTGATCAATTTCTGCTCCCAGCCTGCAAATTCGTATCTCTGGATTAGTCTACTTCCTCACTTCTTTCACTTCCATACATAGGAAGCTGGAAGTTACTTGAGTATTTGTTCTTTGGTTTTCTGCATCAGTTCCCTACAATGGCATTTAAAAGATAAGACAGCACTGTCTTGTTAAATAGGAATAAAGTTTATCGGGTAATTGAAAGGAAACAAAGAGAACTCTAAGTATTATGGAAGTAACAACTGCGGGAAGCAGCTACCACCCTTAGAACTTGAAAAACAAAGGAAAGAAGTTGCACTTCTTAAAACTTAAAATCTCAGAGGAGGGGGCCGCTTGAGTCTGGGGCCTAGACCTCTGAGGAGAGGTGTCTGCTGAGCTTATCGTTTAAATGCCATTGTAGGGACCTAATGCAGAAAACCAAAGAACAAATGCTGGCATTTCAAAGTGTGTGTGTGTGTGTGTGTGCGCGTGTGTGCATGCACGTGTTTCTGTGTTTTATGGGGGAGTGAGACTGGTTTGGGGAATATTGGGAGAACGTTTGGGAGCAAACTACTTATGGTGGAACGAATTACACTGTCAGGATGAAAAAGTAAAACCTTTCTTTCTTTCTCCTCCAGGCTTCAGTCATCCCTTTAGTGCCTTCCACTGATAGAGCATGAATGTGTTTGCAGAGCTCCTGCCCCAGCCTCATAGACTGAAGGTAAAAGGATGGGCTTGAAGCTGGGAGACAGTAGCCTAACAGATAGTATAGTAAGTTTAAAGTAAAATGCTTGTAGACAAATTTTGGTTTTGAACCCAAGATGGATAATTCTAAAATTGTTCTGAATCATGTTAGATGAATTTAACCTGTTGATAATTGTTATGATAACTCATATGCGTTATCTATTTCTTCAGTCTCATTTTGCGTATTCTGTTTATGTTGCTTTATTTTAAAATTTTCTTCATTTTCTTTCATATGCTTTTGATATGTTTCCTTTTAAAAAGTATATTATTCACCGGGCGCGGTGGCTCAAGCCTGTAATCCCAGCACTTTGGAAGGCCGAGATGGGTGGATCACGAGGTCAGGAGATCGAGACCATCCTGGCTAACACAGTGAAACCCCGTCTCTACTAAAAATACAAAAAATTAGCTGGGCGCTGTGGCGGGCGCCTGTAGTCCCAGCTGCTCGGGAGGCTGAGGCAGGAGAATGGCGGGAACCCGAGAGGCGGAGCTTGCAGTGAGCTATCACAGCCACTGCACTCCAGACTAGGGGACAGAGCGAGACTCCGTCTCAAAAAAAAAAAAAAAAAAAGTGTATTATTCAGTGACTTGTAAATTAGATAGTTAATTCTGTTATACTGTGTTACCTAATTAAAATAACAATGATAACTACTTATTTGAAACTATATTTCTTTTCAATGGCAATAATAAAATTGGATAGGATACTACTTCCCACCAAAGAACAGAGGGCTCTGTTTTAAAGAAATTATGCTAAAACATAACTGGAAATAATATGTATTCCAGTCTGGGAGTCTATGTCCCATGCCTTTCTCATTTTGACTCTTGGTGAGCCCAGTGTCAGTGCCAGTTCCTTTTCTGCTTACCCAAAGCAAAACCTGCCAGTCTGTTTGCCCAGTCATGCCCCGCCCTGCCCAGAGCATCCGGCAAGAATTCCCACTCAGTGGTGAGACTGGTGGAAAACAGACTAATGTTCTCAACAGCAGAGGAAACCACACCAGCCACCCTGGTCTTCTGATTTAACTGGAACTGAGCAACTGAAGACCAACTGGCACAGAAGGAGAAACTTCTGTGATCAATCCTTTTTCTGTTGCTTCTCTTGGTTTTATGCCTTTTATGTGCCTTGATATAAAAGGCATAAAATCAAGATAAGCAACAGAAAAACTGACAGCAAAGAAGAAGAGACTCAGAAGACATTAAAAATCCCCTTAATTGATAAATTTAAAGAGATTTTGGAAATATATCTAGATAACAAGTACGAGATGTTACGAAAATGTGACACAAAACCGAGACCTTTAATAAAATAAAATCAGGATTAAAAAAAAATTTCAATGGAAGTCCTGGAAAATCCAACAAGCTCCTTAGAGTCAGGGCAAAAAGAAGGAAAATGTTAAAGAACCAAAGGAAGTATAGAAAACCCGCTCAGCAGGCCTTTCAGAAAGAGCGAACAGAGAAAATTAAGAGAACAAAATTATGTTCATTTATTTATTTTTTGTTGAGACGGAGTTTCGCTTCTGTTGCCCAGGCTGGAGTGCAATGGCGTGATCTCGGCTCACTGCAACCTCCGCCTCCTGGGTTCAAGCAATTCTCCTGCCTCAGCCTTCCAAGTAACTAGGATTACAGGTGCACACCACCATGCCCAGCTAATTTTTTTGTATTTTAGTAGAGACGGGGTTTCACCGTGTTGCCCAGGCTGGTCTCAAACTCCTGAGCTCAGGCAGTCCACCCGCCTCGGCCTCCCAAAGTGCTAGGATTACAGGCGTGAAATCTCTTTCTCCTCCTCCTCTCCTCCTCCTCCCCTCCTCCTCCTCCTCCCCTCCTCCTCCTCCTCCTCCTCCTCCTCCTCCTCCTCCCCTCCTCTCCTCCTCCTCCTCCTCCTCTCCTCCTCCTCTCCTCCTCCTCCCTCCTCCTCCTCTCCTCCTCCTCTCCTCCTCTCTCCTCTCCTCCTCTCCTCCTCCTCCTCCTCTCCTCCTCCTCCTCTCCTCCTCTCCTCCTCCTCCTCCCCTCCTCTCCTCCTCCTCCTTCTCCTCCTCCTCCTCCCCTCCTCCCTCTCCTCCTCTCCTCCTCCTCTCCTCCTCCTCTCCTCCTCCTCTCTCCTCTCCTCCTCTCCTCCTCCTCCTCCTCCTCCTCCTCCTCCTCCTCCTCCTCCTCCTCCTCTCCTCCTCCTCCTCCTCCTCTCCCTCCTCCTCCTCCTCCTCTCCTCCTCCTCCCCTCCTCCTCCTCCTCTCCTCCTCCTCCTCCTCCTCTCCTCCTCCTCTCCTCCTCTCCTCCTCCTCCTCCTCCTCTCCTCCTCTCCCTCCTCCTCTCCTCCTCTCCTCCTCTCCTCCTCCCTCCTCTCCTCCTCCTCCTCCTCCTCTCCTCCTCCTCCTCCTCCTCTCCTCCTCCCCCCTCCTCCTCTCCTCCTCTCCTCCTCCCCTCCTCCCCTCCTCCCCTCCTCCTCCTCCTCCCCTCCTCCTCCCCTCCTCCTCCCCTCCTCCTCCTCCTCCCCTCCTCCTCCTCCCCTCCTCCTCCTCTCCTCCTCCTCCTCCTCCTCCTCCTCCCCTCCTCCTCCTCCCCTCCTCCTCCTCCCCTCCTCCTCCTCCTCCCTCCTCCTCCTCCCCCCTCCTCCTCCTCCCCTCCCCTCCTCCTCCTCCTCCCTCCTCCCCTCCTCCCCTCTCCTCCCTCCTCCTCCTCCTCCTCCTCCTCCTCCTCCCCTCCTCTCCTCCTCCCTCCTCCTCTCCTCCTCCTCCTCTCTCCTCCTTCCTCCTCCCTCCCTCTCCTCCTCCTCTCCTCTCCTCTCCTCCTCCCTCCTCTCCCTCCTCCTCTCCTCCTCTCTCCTCCTCCTCCTCCTCCTCTCCTCCTCCTCCTCCTCCCTCCTCCTCCTCTCCTCTCCTCCTCCCTCTCCTCCTCCTCTCCTCCTCCTCTCCTCCTCCTCCTCCTTCCTCCTCCTCTCCTCCCTCCTCCTCTCCTCCTCCTCTCCTCCTCCTCCTCCTCCTCTCCTCCTCCTCTCCTCCTCCTCCTCCTCCTCCTCCTCCTCTCCTCCTCCTCCCTCCTCCTCCTCCTCCTCCTCCTCCTCCCTCCTCTCCTCCTCCTCCTCTCCTCCTCCTCTCCTCCCTCCTCCTCCTCCCTCCTCCTCCTCCTCCTTCCTCCTCCTCCTCCCCTCCTCCTCCTCCTCCTCCTCCTCCTCCCTCCTCCTCCCCTCCTCCTCCCCTCCTCCTCCCCTCCTCCTCCCTCCTCCTCCTCCTCCCTCCTCCTCCTCCCCTCCTCCTCCTCCTCCCCCTCCTCCTCCTCCTCCCTCCTCCTCCCCTCCTCCTCCCCTCCTCTCCTCCTCCTCCTCCCTCCTCCCTCCTCCTCCCCTCCTCCTCCTCCTCCCTCCCTCCTCCCTCCTCCCTCCTCCTCCTCCTCCCCTCCTCCTCCTCCCCTCCCTCCTCCTCCCCTCCTCCTCCTCCTCCCCTCCTCCTCCTCCTCCCCTCCTCCTCCTCCCCTCCTCCTCCTCCCTCCTCCCTCCTCCTCCTCTCCCTCCTCCTCCTCCCTCCCTCCTCCTCCCCCCCTCCTCCTCCCCCTCCTCCTCCCTCCTCCCCTCCTCCTCCTCCTCCTCCTCCTCCTCCCTCCTCTCCTCCCTCTCCTCCTCCTCCCTCCTCCTCCTCCTCCCCTCCTCCTCCTCCTCCCCTCCTCCTCCTCCTCCCCCCCTCCTCCTCCTCCTCCTCCTCCTCCTCCTCCTCCTCCTCCCCTCCTCCTCTCCTCCTCCTCCTCTCCTCCTCCTCCTCCTCTCCTCCTCCTCCTCCTCCCTCCTCCTCCTCCTCCTCCTCTCCTCTCCCTCCTCCTCCTCCTCCTCCTCCTCCCCTCCTCCTCTCCTCCCTCCTCTCCTCCTCCTCCTCTCCTCCTCCTCCTCTCCTCCTCCTCTCCTCCTCCTCCTCTCCTCCTCCTCCTCTCCTCCTCCTCTCCTCCTCCTCCTTCTTCTCCTCCTCCTCCTCCTCTTTCCTTCTCATCCTCCTCCTCCTCCTTCTTCTTCCTCTCTCTCTTTCTCTCTCTCTCTCTCTCATTATTTCCCTACATTTTCCACTCCAACAACTTTAGAGAGCACTTTTATTTCTCAAACCCAGGCTTTCATCTCATTTAACAGATTATCTGTTGAACATTTTTACCAAATATCCTCTGGAATTAGTGACCAAATGATCAAGTAACATTAAAGAGTGTTGCTTTACTGCATGCTTTATTATTCTGTTGCCCAGAGTTTTCATTTGGGTAATATTTTTTCTAATGAGCCTGCCTGCCTTTTTCTAGCCTGACAGCCTGTGGTAAATTTAGTCTTTAATATGTTTATGGGATGAAATAGACTGCATATTTAAGAGTTTAAAAATAAAAATAGAATAGAACCCTAAGGATATACCTATAGCTATTAGGGAATAAAGAAGTATGGTATCTATCCTTGATAAACTCTGTCTCTGACTTCTTTGTAGAAAGTGCAGTGTATTTTGGGAGCATACGGCCGCATGCTAATGCTTATTAGCAAATGCCATAGCTTATATTGTTCTATGCCTTATAACCATTTCAAACGGCATTTGAAAGATACAATTTTTAAAAAGCATTGAATGACATTCTTCAAGAGAAGGCAAAATAAATTCACATAATAAAGCCAGTCCCGTGGCTCTTACTGATGTGTGAGAGAGATTGGGGAAGTCCTTGAGGGACTTCAGCCTTAGATAAGCCCAGCCATCAGATGCCATTCTAATAGAATGTAAGCACAATTACAACTGTTGACTTAAAAGGACTGAGAGAACCAGCAATGAACAAGAATGGTGAGATTGGAAAACACAGAGCAGGATCACACTAGAATAGAAAAGAACATCAGGAAAAAGTTGGGGAAAGATTCCTCGACCTCTATTTTTATTCTAAGCTCTTGTGGAAGTGAGTGATTTACAGGGATTATTTGTTAGCAGTTGAGAATGCCTCAGTGTTCTGGGATACGGTCTGATGCTCCTGGCCAGTTGAAATGAATGAATCAACCTTAATGAAACGTCCATAGCAGTCTCTACCTGTTACAGTAACCTGTTCCGCGTATGTAACACAGAGAGCAATTAGCCTGTATCAGACAGACACAAAAAGGTGGCGCAGCCCTGAGGTGGAGAGGGAGTGCCAGGATAATGGCAAATGTAGGTGAAACCCTCAGACTAGTTCTACAATAGGTCACTTGTTCCGTACTTTGCCCTTTGGAAAGGAAGTGACTCTCAAGCTACATCTCTTCAGGAAACCTGGAAGCTCCTCAATGAGAAGCCTTTGACTGACCTTCAGATGGTCATCTTGGCTTTTCACCACCCAGCACAGCAACCCCTTTCTATCCACTCTCATTGAAGCTCCGACTGGCTGCAATTTCTTGTTTGCCACCAACACTGAGCAGAGAAGCCTCAAGAGAGGTCCACTGACTCCCCGCATTCCGGATCTTCTCCCATCCACACCTGTGGCAGCACCATCTTCTCATGACAGTCAGGGTCACTTAGTCCACCATGCAGTTAGTCTTTTCACACACGCTGGCCCGCAGGTAAGAGCAGCCCAAAGTGTCCAGGTGACATTTGCAGCAGCCAGTGCGGCAGAACCCTTACTTGGCTCCTGGACAGAAGCACTGCCCAGTGGGAACCAGGATTTCTAATACAGCAGGCCTATGTTTACAGAAGTGGGAGGATTCTTTTTCCCTCCCCTCCCCTTTCCCCATCCCCTCTCTTCCCCTCTCCCTTCCCTTCCTCTTCCTTTCTGTTCCTTTCTTTTCTCTCCTTCCCTCCTTCTCTCCTTCCTTCCTTCCTTCCTTCCCTCCCTCTCTCCCCTCCCCTCTCCTTCTTTCCTTCCTTCCTTCTTTCTTTCCTTCCTTCCTTCCTTCTTTCCTTCCTTCCTTCCCTCCCTCCCCTCCCCTCCCCTCCCCTCTCCTTCTTTCCTTCCTTCCTTCTTTCCTTCCTTCCCCTTCCTTCCTTCCTTCCTTCCTTCCTTCCTTTCCTTCCTTTCCTTCCTTTCCTTCCTTTCCTTCCTTTCCTTCCTTCCTTCCTTTCCTTCCTTCCTTCCTTTCCTTCCTTTCCTTCCTTTCCTTCCTTTCCTTCCTTCCTTCCTTCCTTCCTTCCTTCCTTCCTTCCTTCCTTCCTTCCCTCCCTCCCTCCCTCCCTCCCTCCCTCCCTCCCTCCCTTCTTCTTTCAATCAGCCATATTAAGGTAAAATTTACCTGCAGTAAAATGTACAGATCTTAAGTGTACAATCTGATGACTTGACAGCTAAATATCTGTGTAAACACCACCTCTATCAAGATATAGAACATCTCCCAGCATTTTGGGAGGCGGAGGTGGGCGGATCACCAGGTCAGGAGATCAAGACTTTCCTGGCTAACACAGTGAAACCCCGTCTCTACGAAAAAAAAATAATAATAATAATAATAATAACAGCCAGGCATGGTGGCAGGCGCCTGTAGTCCCAGCTATTCAGGAGGCTGAGATAGGAGAATGGCGTGAACCCGGGAGGTGGAGCTCGCAGTGAGCCGAGATTGTGCCACTGCACTCCAGCCTGGGCGACAGAGCAAGACTCCATCTCAAAAAAAAAAAAAAAAAAAAGATATAGAACATCACCCTCATCCTTAGAAAGTTCTCCTGGCCTCTTCTGCAGATTCAGGAAATAAAGATTTTCAAAGCAGTTCTTTTCCTCAGGTGGTTCACCAGCTAAGTACAGCCACAGGGCATAAATGCTTTAACCCCCTTTGCTGGTCCAAAGGTCCCACTGGATTCCGTTTTTTGAAATTTGATTAACAGAGTGTGCATTTCCTCTGCTACTCCAAATCAGAGGCTCATAGCTAAAGATCGTCTCTTGAAAGCATGATGGATGATGGCAAATTATTTTTAGTTCAATTAACAAAATGGACAAAGAAATCAGTAATTCCACAGCTGTGTGAAGCAGAGGCTAAGGAAATTGGCTGGCACCCTCCATTCCTGCCCTACAAAGCCTGGATTCTGGTCCTGGTGAGTGCTGATGCCATTTCTGGGTGAAGGAAAATCTTCCACCCAACACCTTTCCTTCCTCTGCTTGTCCATCTTCCTTACCTGCTCTCAAAAGTGACATCAGGCTACAGCATTCTGAAGGGCACAGGAGAGAGAATTTCATCTCCTTTTCTTGAAGTTGGCTCTTCATCTCCTACTCCTCACCTCCTGACTTTCCTAATGGCTTTACTTTTTTTTGGGGGGGGGGGATATGGAGTCTCGCTCTGTCACTCAGGCTGGAGTGCAATGGCGCCATCTCAGCTCATTGCAACCTCCACTTTCTGGGTTGAAGTGATTTTCCTGCCTCAGCCTCCCTAGTAGCTGGGAATATGGGTATGTACCACCATGACCAGCTAATTTTTGTATTTTTAGTAGAGACAGGGTTTTCCAATTTGCCCAGGTTGGTCTCGAACTTCTGATCTCAGGTGATTTTCTGTCCACCTCAACCCCCCAAAGTGCTGGGATTATAGGTGTGAGCCAATATGCCTGGCATCTAATGGCTTTACTTCTGATCCCCATTTCTCTCTCTCTCTACCACTTTCTCTCTCTCCCTCCTTTTCCCTTCCCAGACAAGGAATTGGCAAGTTGCACTTGGAGGAGCCTGGGGCCTGGACTGTTGCAGAAGGGTTTGTGCTGAAGGCAGGACCTTAAACGAAAGAGAGAAAGGAAGATCCAAACTGAGGAAATGACAGGAGGAAAAAGGCAGAGACAAAAATCTGAGCATCAGACAGAGAGAGAGGCCTATGGACAGAGAGAGAGCCCGATGGTATACATTTGGAGGGTCAGACAGAAACTTTTTACTTGTTGAGAGAGTTTGGGCAAGTTATTTAATTTCTCTGACCATCAATTTTCACATCTGTAAATGAGAAATAACTAATGCCTTTGAGGGTGGAATGTGAGGATTCTTGCTGATGGATGTGAAGTGTGTATGATGTGCATGGTGTTCATCAGATGATGTGAAATGACGGCTATTACTATAATGAGGCATGGCTAGGACAACATGGAGACCAGCCATGAACAAAGATGCATGGAGAATTGAAAGGCTCCGTAGGAGCCAAGTCATGGACAATTATTAACTAATGTAATTTCTTTAAAAATTATTATCTACTTCTTAGGGCTTCTTAAAACTGGAAATACATGGAAGGTGTTTGGAACCTATCACCTCCATTTTGAGATGGTCAGATATAAAAAAAGATAAGGATCTAAATGTGATTGCTATCATTGCGTCTATGTAATGGGTCAGCATTCTTCGTTATTATGACAAAGGCAGTGTAAGGAAGATGTGCTGAATGACTCTTGAGTCTAATGCAATATGACTTCCTGTTGTGATCAAAGGCTGTTTATCATGGTGGTGTTAGAGGGAAACTGACCTTAGGGGAGTGATGGGTGTGAAAGTAACTTCCCAAGGGCAACATACTCAACAAACATTTACTCAATAAACATTAACAAAGTACATAGTGAATGCTAAGCTCTCTGCCAGGCATCCTGCCATTATTCTACCTACCTCCTCTGCAACCAAGATTTCTATCTAGAGATACAGACGGAAGATACCTGAGTTCATGACTGCATTTATTCCTATTTTAGTATCTTGTTTCTCCCTTCCTTTGGTATGAACTTTTCTTGTACTAACTCTTTATTATATTAGAAATATCTCCTCCTAAGTTATGCTTTCCAATTTTGGCAGTTTTATTGATATATAGGATTTTTGTTAAGTTTTAGTTTACATCTATTAAACCATCACCACAATCGACATAATCATCCAAAGTTTTCCTCTTGTCCCCTTGCAATCTTCTCCTGTTACCCCTTTCCAAGTTCTGAGCAAATGCCATTAGGTAATGGGGGCTCCATTCTTTCACCCACCTCCTACTTGTGGAGTGGAGACTCTACTTTGGCATGGCCTGCTGAGAAGGGTGGGCTGTAATCACCCTTGCTCCAGCTGATTGGAAGTTGTTCCACATCAGGAGATGTAAGGTCCAAGAGGACCCCAGACTTCTGCTCTGCCTCCACTGGGCATTCAGATTCTGAAATGAACATGTCACTGGGAGAGAAGCTTGCCATTGTCCTATCCCCCAGAGTCAAAGCTCTGGCTGGAAGGCAAGCCATAAAACAGATAGTTCCTAATCTCTTCCTAAAGGAACTTACCTCATTTGCAAAAGAGGATAAAGAAGTTGAAGCTCAAGGGTACTCTCAAGAACAGTGAAAACTGTGGTGAAAGATGATTGGGAGGCAGGTCAAGATCCGGGCTAAACTGTAGGCCTTCTAGTTTGCAGGAGAGAACTGGGGAGGAAGACATCTGGGAAGGGCCCTCATAGTGTCAGAACACATATCAAACAGTGACTTCAGAAACTTTCTTCAAAGGAGACAGAATTCGATTGGGTTCGTTTGCAGAGCAATTTATGCCTAAGGGGATTGTTAATAATGGATTCATCAACTGGAAATTAGTGGGGTTCAACAGCTGGGTGTGGTCAGGGGAAGAGAACTCTACCAAAACCACTGCCATCCCAGGTTTGTAAAGCTAAAGCTGAACCTTCCTGAGGAGCAACATCAGAAGTGGGTGTGTGTGTGTGGAAAGCGGGTGGTGGCATAGACTTCATTAAAATAACAGCCAATCACTAAACAAATAAACCAGGAAGTTAGAATAAGCCTGGGGTGGGGGGAGGACACTAGTATTCAAAGTTGCTACAATATATTATCCAAAATGCCCCATTTCCAATATAAAATTACACGGTGTTCAAAGCCAAGACTGTGTGACTCATACATTGAAACAAAAGCATGCAGCAGAAATTACCCATGACAATGATCAGATATTATATTTATCAAAGACTTCAAGGTAGACAGTATAAACATATTTACAAAGCTAAATGAAACCATAATTAAAGGAGTAAAGGAAGGTATGATGACAATTTTGCATTAAATAGAAAATATCAGTAAAGATATAGGTATTATAAAAAAATAATTTTGGAACTGAAAAGTACAATAACCAAAATAAAAACTCACTGGACAGGTTCAGTAGTAGATTTGAGCCAGCATAAGAAAGAATAAGCAAGCTTGAAGATGGATTGATAAAAATTATGCAAGCCAAAAGAACAAAGAATAAAGAAAAATGAAGAGAGCCTAAGAAAATCGTGGGACACCAGTAAATGTGGCAACATAGGCATAACAGGACTACCAGAAGGTGAAAAGAGAGAGAAAGAACAGAACATATATTTAGGGAAATAACCCCTGAAGACTTTCCATATTTACTGAAAACAATAACCTACACATCCACGAAACACAATGAACTCCAACAGGTTAAATCCACAAACAGTTCCACAGACACATCATAGTAAAAGTGCTGCAAGTCAAAGGCAAGAAGAAAATCTGGAAAGCAGTGAGAGAAAAATAACAGTTCACTTAGAAGGAAACCCCGGTAAGACTAACAGCTTACTTCTCAGCAGAAGCAATAGAGGTCAGAAGACAGTGGGATAACATAGTCAAAGTTCTTAAAGGAAAAAAAAAAAAAACCTGTCAAACGAGAATCTTATATTCAGAAATGTATCTTTCAAAAATCAGGGAAAAGTGAGGACTCTCCAAGATAAACAAAAAGAATTTTTGCTAGCAGATTGTACTTTACAAGAAATTCTGAAGGAAAATTTTCAGATTGAAAGCAAGTGCCTCAGGACTGTCATTCAAGCCCACATGAGCAAACAAAGAACACTAGTAAAGATAATTATGTAATTATAAAAAGTAGCATAGATGCATATTTTTGTCCTTTCATCTCTTAACTGATTTAAATAACGATGTAAATAATATTTATATGATGTATTATTGGGACAGGACCATATAGAAATACAACATATGCATCATATACTTGCCAATAGCAGCACAAAGGAGGTGTTTGAGAGCAAAGCTGATTGAGTTAAAATCATAACTACAGGCTACCCTCTTTGGGTCCCCTCCCTTTGTATGGGAGCTCTGTTTTCACTCTATTTCACTCTATTAAATCTTACAAGTGCACTCTTCTGGTCCGTGTTTGTTATGGCTTGAGCTGAGCTTTCGCTCGCCGTCCACCATTGCTGTTTGTCACCGTTGCAGACCTGCCACTGACTTCCATCCCTCTGGATCTGGCGGGGTGTCTGCCATGCTCCTGATTCAGCAAGGCGTCCATTGCCACTCCTGATCAGGCTAAAGGTTTGCCATTGTTCCTGCATGGCTAAGTGCCTGGGTTTGTCCTAATCGAGCTGAACACTAGTCACTGGGTTCCACGGTTCTCTTCCATGACCCATGGCTTCTAATAAAGCTATAACACTCATCGCATGGCCCAAGATTCCATCCCTTGGAATTTGTGAGTCCAAGAACCCCAGGTCGGAGAACATGAGGCTTGCCACCATCTTGGAAGTGGCCCACCGCCATTTTGGAAGCAGCCTGCCACCATCTTGGGAGCTCTGGGAGCAAGGACCCCCTGGTAACATTTTGGCAACCACAAAGGGATCTCCAAAGCTGTGAGTAATGTTGGACCACTTTTGCTTACTATTGTGTCCTATGCTTCCTTAGAATTGGAGGAAAATACTGGGCACCTGTCAGCCAGTTAAAAACGATTAGCATGGCTGCCGGACTTAAGACTCAGGTGTGAGGCTATCTGGGGAAGGGCTTTCTTTTTTTTTTTTTTTTTTTTTTTTTTTTGAGACAGAGTCTCGCTCTGTCGCCCAGGCTGGAGTGCTGTGGCCGGATCTCAGCTCACTGCAAGCTCCGCCTCCCGGGTTCCCGCCATTCTCCTGCCTCAGCCTCCCGAGTAGCTGGGACTACAGGCGCCCGCCACCTCGCCCGGCTAGTTTTTTGTATTTTTTTAGTAGAGACGGGGTTTCACCATGTTAGCCAGGATGGTCTCGATCTCCTGACCTCATGATCCGCCCGTCTCGGCCTCCCAAAGTGCTGGGATTACAGGCTTGAGCCACCGCGCCCGGCCGGAAGGGCTTTCTAACAACCCCCAACCCTTCTGGGTTGAGGACATTGGTCTGCCTGGAGCCAGCTTCCACTTTCAATTTTCTTGGCGAAGCTGAGGGCCAACTAGAGGCAGAAAGCTGTCGTCCCGAACTCCCAGCAGTAGCTGGTTGAGATCATGGCACAGCCAGAAGTTTCTACTCAACAGTTGCCCATGCGTGCACCCCTACCTCTCCTTCTGACCCATACCTCCTGGGTCCCGACCATGACTTTCTTGAAAGTATAGCCCCCAAATTCTCCTTACCTCTGAATCTACTTCCTCTGATCCCTGCCTCCTAGTACTAATGATTCACTTTCATTTCCTCTAGCAAGTTGTATCTCCAAAGGGATCTAAGGAAGCTCTATACTACGTCCTTAGGCACCTAGGCTATAACCCAGGGAGTCTTATCCCTGGTGTCCCTCCCGATTTAGGTATACAGCTCTTGACATGAGCAGTTATGTGGGACCCGTTCCCCACCACCCTTGCCAGGGCCCCAAGTTTGTAATGGCTAAGAGAGAGAGAGGGGGAGAGAGAGACAGAGAGAGAGACAAAGAGGGAGTCAAAGAGAGAAAGAAGTAGTAAAGAAAAAACAGTGTGCCCTATTCCTTTAAAAGTCAGGGTAAATTTAAAACCTATAATTGATAATTGAAGGTCTTCTCCCTGACCCTGTAACACTCCAATACTACCCTGTTGTCAGTGTAAACAAGGTGGTAGCCTGAGAACACTGAGACCACTGACAACCTGTAGCTTTCCTATCAAAAATCCTTAATCCAGTAACCCGCGGATGGGCCAAATGTATTCAGTTGGTAGCGGCAACTGCTTTGCTAAAAGTAGAGAAGTAACTTTTAGAGGAAACCTCATTGTGAGCATACCTCACCAGTTCAGAATTATTCTAAGTCAAAAAAGCAAAAAGGTAGTTTACTAACTCAAAAATCTTAAAGTATGGGGCTATTCTGTTAGAAAAGGGTAATGTAACTCCAACCACTGATAATTCCCTTAACCTAGCAGATTTCCTAACAGGGGATTTAAATCTTAATTACCATACAAAGGTCCGACCAGACTTAGGAGGAACTCCCTTCAGGACAGGAGGATAGACAGTTCCTCCCAGGTGATTGAGGAAAAAACCACAATGGGCGTTCAGTAATTGATAGGGAGACTCCGGTGGAAGCAGAGTTAGAAAAATTGCCTAATAATTGGTCTGCTCAAACGCGGGAGCTGTTTGCACTCAGCCAAGCCTTTAGGTACCTACAGAATCAAAAGACTCTCTCAATCCTGACCCAAAAGCTTAGCTACACCCTCTCTGAAACGAATTTGCCTAAGCACTGTTGTTTACGGGAATGCATCTTGATGGGGCAGCTGGGTTGTTATGAAATACTCGGGAACCCAGCCCAGCTCTAGGACTCACCCCTGAGCACAAAGGCAATGTTGGGCACACTGGTAAAGGACCGCTGGAATCCAGCAGCCCCGCCCACTTTCTTTGTGGTCAAGAAAGG